GAAGCCAGGATGGGCTTCTTCCCTCTGAGGGAGCTATCCAGCCCAGGATTAAGGAACACCTGTGGTTATACTCAGGACAGTTCAGTATGTGTAGGCAATCAGAATTACATCATTTAATTTCTTTTTTAGTAATCAATAAAAAAAAATGATACGTTCCTTAAACGTTTCCATAGACAAAAATATCAGTTCACTGTTGATATATATTGTTTTAAAAAACCAGCACTTTTGTGAAAAGAAATACATCTTTTGAGTGATCCAAAACTACTTGAATGACAAGTAACAAGTTTAAGACCTTTGCTTAAAATGAAGGCTTTAATATTTTCAAATGACCTTTTCTGTAGTTACTTTTAAATGTTTGTCTACTGTTTTGAAATAGTGAATTTAATTTTTTTCATGTTGATTTCTATTTTTTCTTCATCAGTACTTTAAGTGTTAGGATTTCAAGAAAACTTTGGTAAGCAGTGTGACAATTCTACGATGTTTAGAAAAGAAACGATGTCTGTTACTATTATTTTAGATTATGTCATACTGGATGTTACAACCTAAAGCACTCCAAAAATATTGCAAAAAATAACGCTTTTCGTAAGGTGATTCCGATTGCCTACACTAATTGTTTCTTGCATATCAGACTGGCGTTTCCGTGAGTTTTACCCATGCCGGAAATTTCATCTGGCATGGGGGATGCCAGATGAGTCACAAGCTGCACAATGGCATGCTTAGGATGACGTCATTTTACCGTTATGAATGAAGTTGTAATTCATACGCTGTTGTAAGAAAGTAGTTACGGTTGTTATGATATAAATTTCCATTGAAATTTAAGATAAAGAATTTAAAATATAATGGAATATGGTAGAATATGCAAGAAAAAATATCTGACATATGTTTGCGGTTCGGATCGGAATATCCGTCCCTCGGCCACCCGCCCATGGGCGGTAACTCTGCAAGCCTCGTTACCGCCCAATGGGCGGGTCACCTCGGGACGGATATTCGGATCCGAACCGCAAAATATGACAGATATTATTAATCTGTCTGCTCAAAGTGACATCTGCATCAATAAAGCTGGAGAGTCATCATGTAACATTAACAGCATTTCCAACAAAGTATCAATAAAAAAATCAGATTCATTCAAATTTCAAATTGAAACTTTCAAAACCTAGTTTCAAAACAAAAACATACTGTAGTATTTTCCTTGAAGCCTTTCCTCAGGTCTACAGTTGGCTTCCTTAATCACTTGACTTTGAAGGTGCCAATGCCAATGACATTCCAGTATATTCCTCTGCTTAAATATACTATGATAAAACACAGCAAAGCTGGATAGTTTGGAACAGTCCTGCAAACTTGCTTACAAGCTGACTCTGTAATTAAAAATTTGTAGATTCAAATAATCGATGAAAGATGAAAGTTTATAAATAATGTCATCATAGTTTAATGCACTCATCTTGTTCAATACAATCATAGACAAACATAGCATTTATACTTATAAAATATCCTCTAAACAATTGTATTTAAACTAGCTTACATTTAGGTTAAAAATATAGATCTAAAATAGTTTGTATTTAATACTTATTTGAAAAAAAAAACAACAACAGATTTTATGCATAAATGTATCTAAAATTATTTACCTGAACATTTTAACTATCTTGTTTCTTTTGTTTATCTTCCTGTCCCAGGTCATTGATCTTTAGGTTCAATTACAACAACCAAACATTTCCTGAATCTTGTCACACTTAGATAATGTTTTCTTTGAAAATTCCAAAATATGCTTCCTAACATTAATAAAACAAGATATCTCCATAATTGCTTTTAAATAAATCCAGGTTTGCACTATTTCCAACTATAACCACTTGACCCATTAATGTCTGAGATTCAAATTTTTCAACAGTATAACTGAAGGGGCAATCATAATGTGAAACAGGGGTGATCCCAAAATATCAAAGCCATCATCATTTTTTTTTTTGACATTTATTGAAGGTACAAATATATCAAATGATAAATAAAAGTAAAACTTGAAAATTATAATAAGTTCTTGAAAGAGAATCACAGTTGCAGTGTCATTTTAGACTGTTTTGGATTGTATAAAAACCCAGACTCCCCCTGAATAATCACATGGAACAATCTGGTCTATCCCAGAATGCTCAATGAGAAGATTGATCATGCATAGATAAAGGGAACCACCTGGGGTGCCATTAGTTTTATCTGATCAGTGTGTTATATTCTGTGTGTGAAATCTTAGTGGATGCAGTATTTATTTATCCTAAATATAAGAAATTAACAAGCATACTGGTTATTATATTTCAGACATTCAATTGTACATAATTATATTTAAAGGACAATTAATAACTATTTATGTTTATTCTGGGACATAAGATAATCTTATGTCCCATGTTTATTGTACACATAATTAATGGCAGAGTAAATTGTAATCTGAATGTATGTCACAGACTTACTTAGTAGAATATACTATTTTATATGGCATAAAACATATATTAAAGATTAATAGCATTCTTATTTCAGTGTTGCTTACAGGCTGTCAAGAAACCCTAAGTTAAGTCTATATATAGAAAGAAACTGCAGGAAAAATACTGATGCATTTGGAAACTAATAGACATAAACACTGATTGTTTCTTTTTCTATAATTATAAGTTTTGCTCTTTTTATCTATTCTTAAAAATGGAGAAGATATCTAGTAACAATAATTATAAATAATAAAAAAAATATGAAAATAAAAAAAATAAAATTTTCAAGTCTTTCTGATCATCAGTTATTTGAATAATCTCTATCTTATTTTGATTAGTTACAATACCTTTATAGCCATTAATAAAAGGTATTTTATGGCAACAAGGAATTTACATTGTATTTAACTTTTCCATGTTTTCACGCTTAAATTTTTTTAATTGATTCCTCCCCAAAAAATGGCTTCAGAAGATTAAAGTTAAAATTTATTGAAAAGGAAGTTGGCCATTGACAATGTCCATACTAAAAACTGATTCCCTGGACCAAATCTCTCCTTTCCATGCTGTTGGACAATTGTTTGCTCTGACCATGGATTAAAAAATATCCATTGGCAATCTACAGTCGGGTTGTTATCTTAGTTTGCTTTAACTGTTGATTATTGCTTTTGATGCCCATTATAAGTTAAATCATGATTATGCCTTAACATTTTCCGAGATGAAATTTAGTTAAGTTCAATTATCCGAGGTCATTTCCAAGCTAAATATTGGCAAAGTGTTTCCAACAAATTTTACGTAATATTTTCTAAGTTCTTTTCCGAGCAAAAAAAATGACAAAGTTCTTATTTCCAAGCTTTTTTCCGAGCTGATTTTTGGCAGAGTGTTTAATTCCGAGGTAGTTTCCAAGGTTTTCTTTATTTCCAAGGATTTTTATACAAAAACCTTGGATAAAGTTTCCAAGGTTTTAAAAAAAACCTCGGAATTAAAAAAAAAACTTGTAAAACTGGTTTATTTCCAAGGTTTTTGAAGCAATTTCCATGGTTTTTTCATAAACCTCGGAAAATCTACACCCGGGTATGTCTCACATTTGCCAACAACATCTATATACAAAAGAATATGTTTTTTTTTTATTTTGTATGACACTTAATTCTATCAACCTAATTATTGTTGAATCTTTACTGATCTTCCATTGTAGACCAATTCACTTTAATAGCTATGTATTGTCTTGTTTTGCCTAACGAAATTTCTATGATATCTACGATAATAGATAGATAAATAAATAATTAAATAAATAAATAAATTTACTTTATAGTGCATTAACAGGTTTTACATGTAATAATGCATGTAAGTACATTTAAATAAGAACGTTTAATCTATTTTTGTTGTTGTTGCAGTTAAATTTTAAATGTTATTGTTACATCGTTTCAGCGACAATGTGACTAAACAACTGAACTCTGAAATTATTTCACTGAAAGTACTGAACGTAGGAGAGGATGTTTTCCAAACGCTGACACATCCCGTTAAGCTGTCGTTTTCTCTACAGGTAGGTTTTGTCCTTATCCTTATGAACGATATTATTCGACCGTTGTAACGTAAAATACTGCTTCCATGCATACTATGAGCCGCGTCATGACAAAACCAACGTAATGCGTTTGCGACCAGCATGGATCCAGACCAGCCTGCGCATCCGCGCAGTCTGGTCAGGATCTATGCTGTTCGCTATCAGTTTCTCTACTTGTTAAAGGGTTTGTAAGCGAACAGCATGGATCCTGATCAGACTGCGCGGATGCGCAAGGTGGTCTGCATCCATGCTGGTCGCAAACGCATTACGTTGGTTTTGTCATGACGCGGCTCATATATGTGTTAAAAGTATAACGATCACTAGTCACGATATAGGTTTGATGATTTTTCTGTTAAAAGATACATAATATCTTATGCTCAAATTTGATATTTAAAAACAAAACCCTGATAATTACTTTAAAGTCTTTTTTGAAATGTAAAATCAATATCTTTTGGACACACACACGAAACTTTGTTACCTTTTAAACTCTACACACTACAGGTAATCACATTATGATTACATAATGTCATGCAAATTAGTTTGACAAGTGATAGGGAACGCAGTTTCCCAAACATAGTTCACTTACTCAAATAAGATATATTCAGAAAGACTAGATTCCAATAAATTTCTGCCCAAAGATGAGCATAGTATATCTTTAAATAAAATTACGAGTAATATTTTCCGGGTTATATTATTATAAAGACAAAATTAGCTCAGACGATCTTGAATTGTACTTGGTATCAAAACGGTAATTTTAACGCCATTCGTTTTGCCAGATAAGAAGAAACAATCTTATCTTTACAGTTATAATTTTGTATCTTTTAAAAAATGAAAAAAAATCATTCACAGTGTTCGTAACTATATGTAGATAATATTTTAAATATCATAAATATAATGAAGAAACATTTACATTTTTTTGGATAGGATTCAAACTTGTCTTCAAGACTAGATCAAAAGTGTGTCTTTCTCAACATGTCGGCGAGGTTAGTATATGTTTTGTTGTTAGAACTATAAAATCATCATCATCATTATTACCATCATCATCACCATCAACAACAAGAACAACACAACAACAATCATCATTATCATTATCATCATCAACAACATCATCTTCATCATCATCATCACCACCATTATCATCATCATCATCATCATCACTGCCACCATCAACAACAAGAGCCGCAACAACAAAACATGTTGTTTTTAAACATATTTTATTATACAGAGCAGTTGTAGATATTATTTCTTTTAAAAGCGAAACTTAATTGGCAGTCGTAATTATACCAAGCCAAATTATATCTGTTAATATGTAATATAAAACTCAAATCATACGTGTCCGACGAAATAAATGCTCTTTAATATGTTACATAAAACTCAAATAACCGTTATGGTGTTTCGTGCTAAACGAAAAACAGTCGCATCTATAGGTATTAGTTTCTCTATCAAAATTACATATTTCTTGGTAACAAAAGATTATAATTATTCACCGCTTGTATGTCGATATGGCATATAAATATTTGATTCCATTTTAAGTGCAGCAGTACATCTCTCAAATTTCACGATTATCGCCTTTTCTTCTCCTGAAGTTTGAAATGTAAAAATAAATTTATACGCTTATACTATTGGTAATCTGCAGAAAAAAATAACATTTTTTTTTTATTTTTAGTAATAACATGTATGTATTCGACTATTTAGATATTAATGTTTCATAACTGTCCCCATGTTGGTCGCTAGTGAATTGTTTTAAACTTTATTTTCTATCATGTTCTTCTGTATGTTAGCCAGGCATGATTTGCTATTGTTGATATTTTTTCCGTGTTGTTGTTGTATAAACTATAAAGGTTGCAGCGACAAATATAGTTGATCTCCGTCGTCCGGTTAGCTCAATAGATAGGGCTTTGGACTTTGAATCGGGCGACCCTGGTTCGATTCCCGGACGGCGCAGGCACATACGTAGTGATTGATCATGAAATCTTTTCTACGGTCAATTGCACTGTACCTCTGTTCTGATATGTAAAGAAGTTTCAGTTCCTTGCAGAAGTGAAGGCAACTAGTACTGGTAAATAGCTAGACAGTCTACCCAGGAACGATGCAGTGGCTGTACTGTGCTCTGGTAAATTCAATGTGGCTTACTGCCGTGATTCGGAGTGAAAACTACCACCACCACCATTGTTGATATCTTTTTTTTTATTAAAAATTTTAAGAAAAAAAAATTCAAATATTCAATAATTCCTCTTATTCCATCTGTGAACAAATCGTTTAATTTCGGAGATGTTTGTTCTCGTTACTTGACATGGAAAGCGTTGACAAGTATTTAAGCCATTCCAGCGCATGATTGGTCACGTAAAGTTGCGAATAATGCCGAATATTCACGAACTTTTGATATATTTATATGTCAGGTCGGCAGACGATAGATGGTTAAGGAAGGGATGTTACAAAAGTTCTGAGGAAAGTAATGATACCCACGTGGTTTGTTACTGTACACATCTGACAAACTTTGCCGTTTTGATGGACATTTACGATGTGGAGGTGATTTTATACATATATTTTTTCATTTTTAGTTTCAAGTAAAATTGGCCATTAAAAGTTATTTAAACAGTTATTCTTTCCACGAAACAGATGTGTCTTTTAAGATTTAAATGTATTTATTATCATGGTGGCTAAACCGAGCTCTAGTAAATCAAATGTAGCTTACTGCCGTGATCCAGAGAGAAAACTACCAACACCACCTTCATCACCTATGAAATTCATCTTTTGTCATAAATAAGTCGAATTTTATTTTATTCATCTCGTTCAATAAATTAAGTATTGAATCTACACTCCTCGTTCAATAAATTTAGTATTGAATCTATACTCCTCGTTCAATAAATTATGTAATGAATCTACACTCCTCGTTCAATAAATTCAGTATTGAACCTACACTCCTCGTGCAATAAATTCAGTATTGAACCTACACTAATTCAATGTATCTATTTATTCTTCAGGACAAAATAGATGAACTTGACTCCAAGATTTTGACGTACTTTACATATGGAGGTGGAGCGTTTTCAGTCTTAGGCTGCTTGATTTCCATAATTGTATTCGAATTCTTCAGGTATTTTATTTATTGTTTTACGCTGAATAACAAAATTCATCGATGGTTTTTACTTGTCAAACTTGACAAAAAGCAAGAAAAAATAGTCTGCATATTGTTCCTTTTCAGTGTTTAAGATGAACGATTCGTAGAATATAATCTTGTTATTATGGATATAAGTAGCACCATAAACTGTAGCAACGACTTATATTTATTTTTTACGGTACTAAACAGTTTTGTTTAATCGCATTGCGCCGCTTTTATTATATTACACTGTTATGTTTTTCGTCAAAAAATGGCCAGTCAAATGACCTGTTTGACGTAAAATCTGAGACATAATGTGCCCTTCATGCCTACTTTGAAGATTGGAATGTTAACGTTTTATCGGAACATTAACACTTTAAACATGTATTTTTTCAGGTTGAAAAATGAGAGAATTCGAATTCATGAGCAGCTTGCTATTACAATTATTCTTGTGCAAACCTTCTTCCTTGTTGGAATAGATCGCACAGAAAACAAGGTATCAGTTAAAACCTACTTGCAACCTTAATATATCATACAATTTTTGACTAGTAAGCCATTGAATTTGATGTGATATTCACCGGCAGATGACATCGCCTATGTAAATATGCTTTTCTCCTTTATGTGGTACAATGACAATGTCCATTTACATGACACAATTCAATTTTGAACTGTCTTTTCCCTTTATATTTACAAGTACAATTTCTATTGCAATGGTAATATGTTTGTTTGCATGTCATGACCCAGCCATTATCCTTTTTTTCAATTTCAATTATACAGTATGTTTGCATGGCAATGACAATTTGTTTATTTACATGATCCGATTCAATTCTGAACTGTCTTTTCCCTTTATATTCATAAGTACAATTTGTATTGCAATATTTATCGGAAACCGTTTTTACCTACAAGGTCAATATGACCTTGACCTTTGACCCCTTGACCCTTAAATCAATAGGAGTCATCTACTGGTCATGACCAATCACCATACCAAGTTTGAAGTTCCTAGGCCTAAGGATTCTTTAGTTATCACTCGGAAACCATTTGGTCTACGGACCGACGGACCAAAGAACCGACAGACCGACGGACCGACATATGCAAAGCAATATACCCCCTCTTCATTGAAGTGGGGCATAATTATTGACTAGTGAGACTTTAAATTTGATGTGATATTCACCGGCAGATATCATCGCCTATGTCAATATAATTTTTTCTCATGTATGTGTCATAATGGCAATGTCCATTTACATGACACAATTCAATTTTTAAATGTTTTTTCCCTTTATATTCACAAGTACAATTTATATTGCAATGGTAATATGTTTGTCTGCATGTAATGAATGAGCCAATGTCCTTTTTCAATTTCAGTTATACATTTTGTTTGCATGGCAATGACAATTAGTTTATTTACATGATCCGATTCAATTCTTTTCCTTTATATTCACAACTACAGTTTCTATTGCAATGACAATATGTTTATTTGCTTGACATTTCTTTACATTTCATGACTCAGCCATTCAGCCATTATCATTTTTTCAATTTCAATTATCCAGTATGTCTGTATGGCCATGGCAATATGTTTACACTATTCCTTGGTGGCAATGTTCTGCTGGATGCTCGTAGAAGGAGCTCATCTCTACCTTGTCCTGGTTAAAGTATTCAAGTCAAGATCTTACATGAAGTTATATGTTGCTATTGGATGGGGTATGTGTACTGATTGAACTTCCAATCGGTTTTTCAAATAAAACGTCTTTAAACAAAATGTGTAAATAATGTAATGAATGAACGATATTTACTTTCGGTTTTCGCCTTATATTGTATTTTTGATGTTCTGTTTAATGTATTTAACTTTCTTGAAAATATGCAAATAAGTGGAGTATTGTACTAGAACATTACAAAGTTCACTGTAAGAAAATTAGCTTTCATGCATATTAACACAATGGTTTTGCCATATGTGTATGTACTATAAATGTTTCCCTCAGACAAGTACTTCTTGAATATTATATATTACCAAATGTTTTGTGATAATGTAGGTTATTATCTACGTTTCAAAGCATCTTCGAGAGTTTTTTAAGCTCTGCCTTACATAAAAATGCCAAAATCACATATATAACATATTTCAAACAGCATATTATGTGAAATTGTAGCCAGTAATTACCACATTCTAAGAAAACGTTGGTAATGATTTACTCCTTTGTCGCAAACCGCTTGCCTCGCTCGACTTTCACATAATAGCTTTTACGTAGTATTTGCTCTATATTCTTTTTATAACATACTTTTATTTGTTCCAAACAGGGGTACCACTGGTGATAGTTAGTATTTCTGCTGGATTGTTCCACAATGACTATGGAGTAGGACCCGTGTACGAACCTATAATTTCTCATCTTTCCAACATTAAAAACTTTTAACATAAGAAGAAAATAATACAATTCTTACAAACGAATTATGTCAGTATTATTATAGAGATTAATACAACAAATTATTACTACGGACCAGAAATTTCTTTTGTATCTTCATTTAACGCCATATTATCTTACAAAGAGTGAAATGGTTATTATGAACTGTCTAATATGATATTTAAAATATTGTTTTTATCTTGAATAAGTGATTTGATTTTTATACAAAACAGCTTAACAAGAACTTTTGTCTTACGATTTTGTATTGTGATGATAATAATTCTGGCCTATTTGTATATGATCCATGTTTATAAATAGAAACGTACACAAGTTTACTACGTCAAGTCGACGTCAAAGGATTTAAATTTCTGTCAGAGAAATTAGATGTCATATTATGCCACATTTCCTTTCTTCTATGACAGGTGTTGGCTGACAAAGAAGGTGTTATTAGTGGCATTTGTTCCAGCGGTCGGCCTCGTCATTGTTGTAAGTAACATAGTAAAATAATGCTATATGTCAATGACAAATTTGAAATAAGAAAATTTGACTTGACATCACAGAAACATCAATAATGAATTATTCTACGGTTAAAATCTACGTAAAGATCAACATAACAACCTGAAAACATTGTTATTTTGATGAAACATGATTGGTTCTCTATACCTGTTTTCTTTTAATGGAAATGCTTTGCCAGAATAAAAAAAAAGATTTCGTAGATATCGTTTACGTGCAAAGTTACCCTTTTCCTCTTTCTTTGTATCATAGTCAAATGTCTTTTGAAATATTTGAAGGGTTTAAATTTTAGCTGCATTTTACTGAAATTAGATGACTTTGATACCCGTGGTACTTATGTAAGCTTTATACGTTTATGAATTAAACTTTCCCATCTTTAATTTAATCATTTATTTCTTTATAAAAATCCGATAATAAGTGTTAATGATAAAACATCCTTCGAGTTTTCAATAAATAATTAAAATCGTCAATCCTTGTATATTTTCTATAGCTTATTGTGCCATTTGGCTTATAATGAGATAAAATTTCTTACTACTAAATAATATATTTTGCATCATTTTTAAGTCTTTTATTATATTAGTTGTCATGAACTGATTTTCCTACTCTGGCTTTATTTTTCAGATCAATTCTATTGTCCTTATCATCGTTATGAGAATAATGCTCGTTTCATTGTCAAGGGGATCTAAAACATCCTCCGAGGAGCGGTCTTCAATTAAGTAAGTGGATTTCAATTCTTTTCTTTCATAATACCGGATATCATTAGAAAGGCGATTTAGCCGCAGACAATTTTATTCAATTTTATAGGAAAAATTCTATCTAAATGAATTTCATCGTTTATATCATTATGACAGTTATGACAATGAAATTAGCAACACTCCATTTATCCGTTTGAATCGCTGGTTTTAATGGTTGTGATGTATAAATGTGTAGCAAAATAGCTAATATGTCAGCTAAGGATTTTAACTTTATCATTCAATCCAATAATTATTTTATTCTGAAGAAATGGCAGCATACTTCTTTGAAATAAGATTTTTTATGTAAGACGTAAAAGCAAGCTTGAAAATTGTTTATACTTTATTGTTTATATTTTTGCAATAAAAGTTTTATAAATTACTATATATGCATACAAATTATTACTCGAATTTTTTTATACAGTCAGCCTTTCTTGTTTTGATTTCAATGATTGTTTTAACCGATAGGATGTGGTTATATAACAATGTATAAACTATGTATTACATAAAGCTGCAATTCTTTCCCTTCTATAATGTCATGGTATTTTTTATTGCTAAATTCCTTTATCATTTTACCTATAGTACGTATTTGTCCACTATATACATACTTATATACCGGTGCTATTTGCAAAACTCAACATTTTGATTTCGATGCATATTGCAACAACCATAAAAGAGCTGACTTAATCTATCTGTCAGAAATTGTGATTATTCATTACTCTACTCAATTTTCCTGAACTCATTTAAGACTAATATTTTCACTCACACATTTTCTAATTGATGTGACATGGCTAATGAAACGGATATCGAAAACGTAAAAAAGATCTAGATTGTTTATTCAGATAAATAATTATATTTAGTGATATTCGGTCAAATATTGACTTAAGAGTTCCTTTTACAGTTTTATATTATTCTGGAATAATTTATCATAAAAACGAGGAGGGAAATAACAATTATATTTGGTAGTTTTATTGGTAAATACCTCACAGAAGCACACTATTTCTGAGTGTGTCTGTCTCTTACCATTTTGTAGGACCAGCCTGAAGGCTGCAGCAGTGTTGCTTCCATTACTCGGTCTCACCTGGACGTTTGGATTCTTGTCAATCACGAGCACAGAGACGCTTATTTTCACATATCTGTTTACACTTTTCAATTCTCTACAGGTAAGATATCAATTAAATCTTAAGGGTCAAATTGACTTACATGATAGGAAGTATGTATTCTGTAACAATATAAACATACTTGCAGTGCAACTTCTGCATTTTGTCTCTTCATAGAATGAAAACCTCTTTACCACAAGAGAATCAGTTATACTAAAGTATGACTTCACAATAAATTTAACATCTATTGAAGGTTACCATCTAACAACAACGGATATATATGTCCCTCAGAAGATGTTGCACAGATTGTGAAAATAATATTTTATTTTACAGGGTGTCTTCTTTTTTGTTTTCCATTGCCTGCTAAGCGCTGATGTGAGTACGAAATATGAATTATAGTCAATCGTTTTCCATTGAACTGTCATTAAGTAACTTAATATTATCTGTAGCTTTTCATAAAACTTCATATGTTACACTGTATTTGTGTTGCATAATTCATAAAAGATAAAAGGAAGACAAACAAACATATTTAATATCAATGAATCTGTTATAGAATATTACTTTATATCTTGAAAACAACAACAAAAAACGACAGTGCACTAGAAGTAAAATGCCTACTTCTTACATTTATATTTTAGGTTCAAAACGCATATGATCGACACAGTCGACGTAAAAGTCAGATGCGTAAAACTGAGTCATCCTTCTCAAAGAAAGGGACGTTGAAAAGGGATTCAGAATTCAACTCGTCAATGTATACATCTTCATACAGCAAAAATTCAGTAAGTTACATTTACCTTTCCTTTGATATCCCTTTTACATGGACAAGTTTGAAACTATATATACGTCATTTACAGAAATATAATTATGTTTTTCCAGATTAACACTGCAACAACCGATGCATCTTTGAATCTAGAAAGAAAGAGGTCCAACAGAATGAGCGATCATGTATCCGAGTCTCGTCAGCCTTCAGTTGACTTTGAAGATGATGTATTCTACGACCACGCTCCATCGATTCCAGGGACCGTTTCCAGCCACATCAGTAGATCACATAACAGAAACAGCATTCAAGACCCCATACTTCACAACCATAATGACCACCGCATGGATGATTATAGCGGAGATCGCACGCTAAATAACAAAAATAACAGGTCAAATCGACACGGTTCACAGTCTTCCAACGAATACGTTTTATATTATGGAAAAAATATTGTGGAGCCCATTGACCTGAACAAATATCAAGACTTTGATAGAAACGATCTTTATGAAAAGGTCAGAAAATGATTGATTTCCCTCACTGAATTTGAACTTCTATAGCGCAGCTTCCGACATTGTTGCACAAATCTGAAACAACACAAATGTTCTGAACATGTAAATCAATGTTCAAGAATATATATAAAAAACAACATATTCCCTTTCGTTTTAAAAAGTATCGACGATTGTAATTTTATATTACTGTATTTACAGTTTATCATTACCACTTAACGGCAAAAATGTTTTAGCTGTATTTTAAATTTTCAATAATTCACACGAATTTGAAACTCAGTAGTGTTAGTGATTTTTATAATTATGTAAATTATTAAAGTTTGTTCTTTTGATAAATATATTTTTTTTTGTTCTATTGTATAAAATATATTTAAGTGAAAATTGCGCTTCCAGTTGCATGTAGTGTGAGAAGGTGCAAATTCTTACGTAGAACACACCTAGTTGGCAATATCAGAAACTTTAAAAATAACAACTTAGTTGTTTTGCATTTATAAAAGAAGAAAAGAAAAATCTTGCAAGTTATTAAATCTCCATTACAAACGTTTATTGTTATTTTCTTATAAAATAAAAGTTGACACAACACTGACATTTCATGGACAAAGCCAGTTTACAATAGATTCGATGCAAATGTTACCTTCACCCTCACTGACTAGGTGTATCATATTCTTTACTCAAATTTCTGGTTCCAGCACAGAAATATGCAACCTTCTTCCACAATATTGAACGGATTATGTTGCTTTTTCAAAGAGCAAGTCGTTGAACTTTTTCCGCATATAGAGCATAAAATAATTAGTTATGGGCGTGGCGAATATGTCAGTTAATCTTTGTTTCACCACAGTAATCAAAGTTACTTGAAACTATCTGTATCTACCTTGAAGGTGTCCAATTAGTGGTTGATGTGCAATTCAGATAATACAAACAGACTAGGTCTCAGTCGATACCAAACGAAAATATGACAATGTTATAAGATATGTTTGTTCTACACATACTACTTATTTTATTTTACAGACAGGAATAGGTAAAGGGAAATATGTTAATTGTTTAACTTTTTTAAGAACTATGATTATATTAGACCAGTAGTTGCTACTACTACTCAATTGTCTGACCGGTCTATGGTTCCAGTAAACAAATTCATTATCATATCAAAATCAGACCTATTGATATCAAGGTATTAATAGGACCGATATTAATATGGTTGTGTATGAAATATAACGTTCAGCTATTACATTTATTATATTTACCTGATATTGTTCTTGTATGCATTTAACAACAATCATGTCGTGATAATTTCAGGTTTAAATGGGGATAATATTAAAAATAGAACCTACTGTTCCGAACAAATGTTTTATAATAAATGTTTAAGTAAAATCACGATTAATATCCTTTAAGCACAAGAAATGATTCTTTTTGTCTCAAAATCTATATATTTTTGTTGTCTTGTTATGGTTTCCAAAACCACATTGTGTTGGGTTTTGGCAGTTAATACATGTTTAGTGATTTTGTACCTTGCATTAAAGTCAAAATACTACACGTACTTTCTTTACATCTTGCTACTTTCATGATAATTATGACAAATAATTTCACAAACATGGCTACTAACTTCAGATGAAAGCATCGTTAAGTTTCATGCTCTGAAGTCAATATCTAAACGTTTTAAAGCTTATGTTTGCCGCTTTCGTGGAAAGATTTAAATGTAGCAAAACACATGTTTGCCGTGTCAATAGGACAAATTTCTTAGTTCCAGAGGCATACTGTAAGGGGTTATAAGTTATTAATTTTAAAGTACTTTAACAACTCAAAAACTCTTGATATAGTCTTCGTGTAGAATGATTCTACTTCAATGCATTAAATATAGGTTTATATTTTTAACAAATATTATCATCTGTTTAATTTTAGAAACTATTTAGTGTGTAAATTGCACTTAAACAGTTGTCAACTGTCGACGTTGTAAAAGGTAGACAGCTGCAGGTTTTCATACCCTCCTGCTGCTTGTCATGAAACTGTATTTATAATGTTTGTTAGAGGAAATAAAATAATAAATTACATTGAAGAAGTTACTCAAATTATTGTCATTTTTACAAACTAAGGGGATTTAATATTTTATTGGGTTCAGTTCTCAAACTTAAACTGCAATAGCTTTAGCTATCTTGAACAACTAATCATTACGCCAGCAGTGAAGTGTAAAGTAAAAATATACGCATGCTTCACCGTTGGTTTCTTGATTAATATAATAAAATCCTTAAACTGACATACCGCGTATCATATATAACATTAAGCTTTTGACAAGTTTATTTTATTAAATCAAACGTTAACTTCAAAAGCAGTTTCATTGTGAATGTAAAACAAGTTTCCATAAGTCGCTGACAAAAAAGTGGTATAATAAAATGGAAGGATAAAAAAGGAAATCGATTCTAATTTGTCATACGATAATGAAAACTTGTGAAATATCAAAGGCCAACCTTTCACGAACCGGCTTTGACTAAATGTATTCTCACTTCAGATTTAATGAATATTAAAGATTACTGAAGTAAAAGATTAGATAAAAAGCTGCTAAAAAATTCACAATATGATATAAATGAATGTAAACTGAAAAATCAGTTTGAATGATTTTCTTATTTGAGAGACGTCAATAATTCTTGTAATAGCAACATTTTCCACTAGCATCGCTTGTAGCTATATCCATTGCTCCAAACTAGACAAAACAAAAGACCAACATTACAAAAACTGTTGAAATTATATTATCATTTGCGAATGACCAGAAAATAAAACATCAATAAGATCAGAACCGGGGAAGTTTTAAAAATGAAATAAATCATCAGTTATAACGTAAGAACAGTTAAAAAGACCGTTCGCTCAATTATGACAAATTTACCGGGAAGACAATATTAAATAACATATAACTTACATAGCAGATACGAAAATGTTATAAAACAAACTATTAATCACTACTACCATATACAAAACTTATTGTTTTAAAAACAAATATCAGCGTTCTTTTTCAAGTAAAATTTAAAAAAAAATGTATCCAGTATTACATTTCTATTGAAATGTTTTATAAATATTTGAACTATTTTGCTAATTGTAGAGTAATCAATTTTTACATTAACAAACATTGGCATTGAAAATGGTCAAAATATTTCAGTCAAAGACTGTACTATGTATGTATTAAGAAATATTTAATGTCAGTAAGGTCTCGCTATTTCTGTCAAAAAAGGAATTATTTGAAATAAAATGTTTGCTTTAAAATCATAAAACGTGAAGAATATGTATTATCAAATGTACTGTGATTCAAATCATCAGTAACTTCATTGGCTCACATTTGCATTGAATCTGCTTCTGCAAAGCGTCAGTTAGTTTATCATATTATAGCTTGACAATCACTTCAATGTTTGTTGTTTACTTTTTGCATCTTAAATCTTCGTTTAATTTAGAGTATTTTTAGGTATTCTTGATCCAGTAGTTGACTTCAAATTACTTGCCCCTCATCATTATGCAATGACGATATTCAGCTATACACGTTGGTGGTTCTACTCAGGTGCTCGCTCTTTCCTGAACTTATGCATTTAGGGACATTTGAGGTTTCTTTCACCTTTAAAGTTGGGAAGTCACTGGTAGGCTACTGTGATGTAAAAGAAAAACATTTGCTAATATAAAGATTACACAATGTAATTTATGACATTTCTATAAGTATTTGAAGTTTGAAGAACAAAAAACTAACGGACTATTTAATTAAATCACACAGACATATATTTTATATCGACTGTACTTAGATATAGAAATAATAAACCGGCCACGTATTAGCTTTATAAGTCTTAATCTTCAGATCATAAAATACTGTATAAAAAGACATCAAAAGTTCCTTTGATTTCAGCAATGCAATAAAGTCTCTAGTACTCTTAATAAAGGAATTCCTATGCTCAGATAATAAATGGATGGATGGATAAATTATAAAACTTCCTTTTATATAGATAATTATTTGTAAATTTAGATCAGCAGGTGAAATGATGTTGATGATTATGTAGAAACATTCGATATAAAAAGTCTATTTTAAGATAAGCAGTGGTTTACGAATAGATTTTAGCTAAACGATAAAAGGTTCTCAATACCAACAACATATTTAAAAAAATTAAAGTAAAAATATGTTCACCTTAACGAACCTGACTTAGCGAATACTGAATTAAACGTCAATCATTTTGAACTTTACTAAAATAATATATCCTTCTCATATGATTAATGTTCAATTTACTACAATTAAACAGTTTCGCCCTGCCATAGTGGAGTTGGGATCTATTTATGGAAAGTCTAAAAAGCTTTTGAAATTAAATGAAGTCGGCGAGATGTCAAGGATAGGTCGACGTCTTCAAGATGATGTCTACAGCAGAAGCTGATTATTGAAATGACAATAATTCAATTTCAACACATAACCCTTATGACCTTTGGTTTCATTAACAATTATACCACCTTAACCAGACATTCAGTTGATAAACATTAGAGGCAGAGGGGGAGAACGCGGATGCAGGATATGGGGTGTGCGACAGAATTTCATACACAAACGAGTCGGTCATATTTCAATGATTTAACATAGCATATGATAAAGTCATTTCAAAAATTTGGAGCAGATATTAACTTATTTCCTGACGAGAATCTGTTGTAGTTTTCCTGCGATTTCGATGCGAAAATGCGCGAGTAATACATTACTTATAATCCCCCATCATGCTTATATTTTATTTAAAGCCATTATAATATTACTGCACGGCAGTTTAATGGTAATAATTGTGTGTTTTAAACGTTGTTGACTGTACATATCTTAACTTTGACATCGAATTAATTTGCGTGACTGAGAAGAACAAAATGTTTCACATTTTGTAACACGTGTTAATTATTGTAAATCCTAATAATCAAATGGTATGTAAAATAATCAAGAACTTAGTTTGTTTCATATTTATCAGCGAGATTATCACCCTTCCATCTCAATATTGCACTAGCGTTCTCAAAATATTTATCTATTTTGAGACAAAGAGATACCAACGGCAGTATATTGCATCCAAAATTAGAAATGCACTAGAAACCTAGTAACACTATTTGTAATTTAATGACTTCGGAAATATTCTGAAATCCTTTCATTGTTAACATCAAACTGTGAATTAAATCAATTACTTTAATAAACTATCAAATAAGCACGCAATAAATTAACATCAAAGTATGAAATGCTTATTCATTATCAGGCATTCAATATAAATATTATGTTGCAGAAAAAATGTATTTCGTACAAACTTCAAATGAATATCTTTATAATTATTTTGTTTTATTTTCGGTGCTTATTCTCCTTATTCTCTAATTAACAAATATCACAAAAAAGAGATTTAAACACTCAAAGCCATTTAGATACGAGTTGTATATTTTATCAAGTTTAAGATCATTTATGAGAAATTCATCTGTTAATTAAATTTTCTTTGAAATAACATTTTAAAAACAGTTATTTTCATCTCTGAATTAAACCTTCATCAAATTGCCTAGAATTAAGTTTTTATGCATATATATTTATTATATCATATTGAAATAATTTCAGTATGCGTAAAAGTCAATGTTATTCATAACTAGCTTAAATAAATATAATTAGCCCATTTAGAAAGACATATGGCCCATGGCTTTGAAAGCCTTTCCTTAAATACGTTTGTTTAACGTTTGTAAGAAATTCGTCGCTAGAAAATATTTAACACAATAATTATCGAATGAAAAAAAACATTAAACATGAAGTCTTTATACTTATGTATACCTATATTCTATCTAAAGGTCCTGAAAGGGTTCAAAGAAAAAAATAAAGAGACAAGACATAGCTTTAAGTTATAATATATCTTACTGCAAGCAAAGAAGTAAGTAAAGTCAAGTCAAGAATGTAAACTAAGTAAAATAAGTAAAGTAAACAAGTAAAGTAATATTAAGTAACATAAAGTTAGACCAAAAATAAAGCAAATCAATTCTTAAAGTATGGAATGTTAGTAGTAAGTAAAGTTAGTAGGCAAGTTTAGTATAATAAGTAAGTAGTAAACTGCTTTTCCCTTAAAACTTTTATTCCAGCTGTAGCCTTTAGCGAAATTAATTTAAGAATACCGTGACCATGGATTTTGTCTTCAAAACATCAAAATTTATTATCGACAAATGTTCTATATGACAAGTAAATAAGATAGATATGCATGCATTGTCTTGTGAAAAAAAGCTTTATTACATTGAATGTCATTTATTATTTTAAATTACTTGACCTTCTCTTAAACCTCAAATATACTGATAGAAATAAAATTGCTTCGTGTCCATACTTCCTACTCAAAAGTACTATATATGGTCCTTTTAAAAGTACTATATATGGTCCTTTTAATAAATTAATTGCTATTCTTGGCATTTTGATAACTTTGATAATGTAAAAAAAAAGGGGGAAAATTAAAAATTTGCTATTTTGTCACATAAGAGAAAAATTTGGTTTTTTCCCCCACAAAAACCCTTTAAAATTGTCAAATTTGAAAAATCTCCCTTTAATAAGGGCTTTTTAAAACCCCAAATTTAAATTTTTTAATACCCATTTCCCTTTTTCCCCAATTTAATTCTTTTTCTTATCTTCCCAACTCAAAATTTTTCCAACATTTTTAAAACATCTTTCCCCCAATGTTTTAAATATTTTGAGCTAAATCACTTAAATGAGTTTTTATTTTCTATGTAAGTGAAAAGGGAACCCTCCCGATGATCCATATGTTACCCCTGCAATCTGAATTATTTCAAAAGCGTTAAATGAAAATAGAAATTAAAAAAAGAGCATAGAGTTAATTTCAGACTTGAACAAAGTACATCGTAATTCAAGTATATATTCAAGTCAATAATTGCACGTCAAGTGGCCATGCTTATATACAAATCAATCATTAAACTTTTAAGACAAAATATATCTGTTTACAATGAAGGAGATAATATAAAGTTATATGGTAACAAATGTACTTATATCAATGTAAAAAAACTGACAGTACCAGAAATAGTACTGGCAACTTCACATAATATTGAATACCATATTTTACTCAGCGAGTCTTATATTCCTCTAAAAGTCAATGGATGTGAAGCAGCAGTGAACTTAATACCTTCTGAAATCCATCCTTTCTAAAACAACATTCATTTAAAGTTCATGCACATGCTATTTGATTCAGAAGAATTCTAAATGTAATTTTGATATTAGTACTTTGTCATGAAGCAATTACTCTATTTCTTGGAAACACAAACTCATTCTAGACACAATTCAAAACGGTAAATAAGTAACCGAGCTGATAGCAAAAATACCTTTGAGATGTATTAACATTAACCAACATGGCCGCGTATGACAAGGTATAGTGTAAGTCTTGAAGCATTTCTGAATTGATTTCAGTGAAAACCTATTGTTGAGGCTTTTAACGTTATTAATGCTGATTGACATATATTCAACACTTTTTTATAGTTGATTGTCACATTGAAACAATGCAAACTACGAAGATTCTTTCAATGAAATTTTAAAGGCGATCAACTTAGTACAAGATGCCAAAGATTATGCCCTTTTATGAATACTGTTTGAGAATGCTTGAATAATATTACGATTCGTTCGTGTAAAATGAAAAGTTTTAGTATCATTTTACAATTTTGGAATTTGCTACAAAAATTGTAAATGTCTTTTGTCTTGCATCCTTATCATATTTCAATAGCTGAATAATGACATTACAATTTTAAAGACTTAATGTTTTCGCAACATTACGTTGATGAATCGATTCCAGATTCATTTTGATATGAAATATAACGAAGGAAAAATCAATTATTAACATTCCGAAGGAACATCAATGTTGTGCTTTTGTGATAGTTTTATTAATCTCTTTTTGAATTGCAGCAAGCTTTTTTCAAACACAAAATGATTTCCCTATTAACCACAATATTCTGATCAATACTTTAATCGTGGTTTGGTATAATAACCGTTTGTATTCTTTCATGAATATTTCAAAGTTCTGCCTGTGAAATAGAGATTTATGTTTTTATTATTGAAAAATATAATAGTTTGAAATTAGATCTAAAAAAAGATATAGAGGAATACGAAAAAGTTCAGAGCTGCGATACGCTCTATTTATTGATTTGTACATATATGTCAAATCACATATCTTTAAGCATTTAAAAGATATAACGCGTTTGACATAAAATGTAAGATTTATTTTTTTTGTATTAAAGGCTTGCAGCGGGAAAATAAACCCAAAAAACTAGAAAGGAGCACTACAATTAACTAATATGCAACATCTGCGTTTTTGAAATAATCCGAAATTCTTTGGCATTATATGATAATCTATATCGACTGTTATGTAGAACTGTGCACTTAAAAAGAAAAACACCAAAGCAAAAAGTAAAAGCAAAAAGCAAAGCAAAAGTATAAACCAGTAATTTTAGATTTAAAGAATTTAAGTCTTTTGCCTATAGGGACTACATATGAGAACATCTTCATGTTCTTTATTCTTTAAGATCCTTCATCAATTAGCCATTCGCAATGGCAGTTTAAGGTGAATTATGACGATTACCTTTATCAGTTATCTGAGAAAAGTCAAAATTATCAAATACTTGTTCATGCTATTAGAATCCTCAGATTCTCTCTCGTACAAATTGTTTTGGGGGATATACACATAAATGGTTATTTTACAAAAATTGCAAAAAATGTAAAAAACGTGTTGTTATAATATTATGTTTTCATATATTTAGAAAAATATGATAATATTATATCTGTGAATGTAAATACAAAGAATATACATGTATTATAAGCAACAATTCCTAAATTAGAAAACTTTAACTTGTCTGGAATAAATTTGCGCAAGGTAATGTATTTATTTGTGTGAGTTGATAAATAAGATAACACATCGGTTAAAAATTTAAACTTTGGGTTTTGGCGCCAAATTTTATATAAATTTTGCTATAGAAAAAGGCATTTTAAAAAGGTATAAACCCAAAAGTTTATGGAAAAAAAAGCAAAAAAGAAACAAATTTTTAAAATTTAGTAAACATTATTGGGGAAGTTTTTTCCCTAAATTTTTTATGACCCTTTCAAAAATGTTTACGTTTTTTATTTATTGCTCATTCCCCTAATGAAATAATTTCAAATTTAAAATAATTTTAAAGATCAAAAATGCACCTAGGTAAATTTGTGTATTCAGACTAAGAATTGAATCTATTAAAAACATATTTGTAAGATACACCGATTAACGTATTTGCATATTTTCGATTTATAAGTATCAAACAATTCTGGACATTGTATTGTTCCACCAAATAGTAACTTGCTGGTGTTTATGTATATGTTTTTTGCCAATAACATAGTTGAATATTTGATCTGATTTGATTTTTTTTGGTTCAAGAATATCTTAAAAACACTATTTAGTTCTTATAATATTATCAGAATAATAATCGAAGTTCGAGGTTCTAAAAATTGTGTTTTGTATCTATAATAATTGTAAAATAATTTAAAATGAATAAGAACTGCCTATTTAATATCAATAATTATTTTCAAACTGGTTATACAGGAGATGTTACAATCAAATCTTAAAACGAAACGCAATTAGTTTAATGAATAAGTCAGTGATTATTAAACTTATTAACAATATATGTTTTAGTTTCATTATACCATCGTAAAATTAAACCTTTTGATTAAGAATTTTGAATCATATAAAATTTTATAACCATCTGAATAGGGTCATCTTATACATATTTGTTTCACAGCGTGTCAACTTTGGAGGCATGACCATTTATTTTACGATTATGTCCATATTGACCCGTTGGCTTTCTGTAAAGGTATTTGTTATTTGAAGCAGTTTGAGGGTGCCATATTAAGTTCCACTGACCACTGGTCAGGTACTTGAACTATTGACACCTGCTTAGTTTCACATGAGAAGGTGGTGCAGGATGGACATGCATAGGTATAAAAGAATTCAGCCTCAACCCAATTGTCATATTCGTCTACAAGGCAAATATTCACTATGTTCTCGTGCGCTCTACTCTTCGCAATTTATGGTAAGTGCTTCTTGATACTAATTCTTTCGGCAAATTTAAACTGTAAATAACATTTTAATAGGATGGAAAGTCTTCGAATCTTTTTAACAAAATTCAATTCATTGACGTGTGTTATGAAAACTGCTATGTTTAAGACAAAATAAAAGCCTGAAAAGGAAGCACTTTTATATGTACACGACAAAAGGTAACTGAGCGACTAATTATTACATTAAAAAGAAATAATCATTATATGACTTGAATGTAAATGACTTTATGCAGTTACTAGTTTCATATATTCGCCAAACATTTCAAAAACTTTAAATTCACATTGTTTTAACATTATCATGTATATCATGCATTGAGAAAAAGTTTCGGCAGAAAAATTCTCTGTGATATATATATAGTCATATTCTTTTTTCACATTAATTGCATTGTCATATGACAATTTGTATGTTTTGTTTCAAATACATTTCTTCAGAACATTTCAAAAGTAATAAAATCACATTGTTTGACATTGTTATCGATATTATGTTTAGAGACAAAGTTTTGGCAGAAAGTTTTTTTTGTTTTATTTAAAAAATAATACAATATAAATTAAGATGTTTCTCTACGAACAGTCATATTTGTACTTGCGTGCTTTGTAACGTTTCATCACTCAGGTACAATCAAATACTATTATTCAGCCGGTCAGAGGGTCTATCTGTCATTCTTTTTTTTGTATTCATTAGTATTTATAAGACTTATGTTGTTTTGTTAAAGCAAATATTTCAACATTGTTCATTCTCTTTATTTGAGTTTTTGTTGTTTTCAAAGCTGTTGTTGCCTCGGACGAGGCTGGTTCCCGGGTTTTGAGTAAACCACTTGGTATGACGTCGAGAATTATAAATGGTATTGAAGCTACACCATACGAGTTTCCCCACCAGGTGGCTCTCCTATCAATGAATGCTAATGGAGGCGGCTCACACATGTGTGGTGGATCTGTAATCGCACAGGATTGGGTGATTACAGCGGCCCACTGTGTTGAAGGAAGGTAAATTGTTAATCCGGACACAATTAGTTTAAATTATTTGACAACATTTTATTGATTTTTGTCAAGCCGAACTTTTGTTCCATTTAGAACATATGTCAAGCCGTTATTTACAATATGCTAAAACATGTATATCATTTACTATAATAAATATCATAGAAATCTTTTAATTATATTATACTCATTTGCCTTATTTCAAAAATAAAATAATATTTTGGTTTTTCAGAATTTAACACCAGTTAATAGAAAATTTCTTATATAGAATACGAAATATCATCTTTCTCTGAAAAGATAGTTTCTGAAATATCAAGACAAAATACAAAGTTAAAATCAAATTCCAAATTCAGTTCATTATTTTCAAAATTTAGGACAGAAAACGATAAATGAAGATGTTACATTAAGTCAATACTTGTAAACCAATTCACCTTTAAATTAGAAGATGTTCTTATAGTTTATGTGATCATATAAAAGTCCTAGATTATAAAAACATTGTTGATTTTTAAGCTGGATTAATTCAGTGAATCTGTTTGATTTTGTTCTTAAATTAAGGTGGATCATTTTCTTTTAAACATAATCACTTTTATTGTTCTTTATCCAATCATTTGAATACATAATACACTATTATGAAATAAAAGCATTTAAGCAAACTCGTATATAATGTAGAATGGATAATGATAACAGCTGATATTCTAATAATTCTAACATAGACCTGAAGCTTCGTTGGCGGTTGTGGTTGATCTACACGATTATACAAACCCTGGAAACTATATCTGGTTTGACATCGCCGAAATCATTATGGTAAGTATCTAGTACTCAAATCATTAATTCATCATCGGTCGTGAACAAAATATTATACGCACTCTACGGCACAGTACAAACATTTTCTTTTATAAAAAGGTTGAATATTTTAAACAACTGAATGCAGTAATAAGTTAAAAGATAAGTTACTGAAGCTAAAAATAAGAGGAAACCTTGTGGCTAATTTGTACAACTGTAGAGTCTGGTTCCTTGGATAAGCTAGAGCAAGTGTCACATAATTTATTCCCAAGGCGTTAATAATAATATTGTTATATATCTTACCTAAGCTAAATGAATCATTAACAAGAAGTGTTACATGTTTGTTTCGTTGGAATTTATTCCAAAGTCTTTGCTAAAACTTTTACTTAAGCTAAATAAATCATTAACTAGAAGTCTGTAAATTGAGTAATACGGTGCAACCTTTAAAGTATGATCCCTAGTCGAGCAATAACATAAATAAAAAAATGAAATGATAAATAAGAAATTAAACCTCGCAAGGGCAACACATCTCTCCCAAGAAACAACCAAAAAATTTGTCTTCCAAATGGTTTCTCCATGGGTGGAACTGTTATTTTATTTTTACTGTCTAATAGCATAAAGACTACAACAAAGGAACTGGCGGTTTCCCGAATGATGTGGCCCTCCTTCGATTAGTACCGCACGGACAAGATATCACAAAAAACATCATCAAGATTGCAAAAGGAACCAATGATTATGCTGGCCAGATATGTACTATCAGTGGTTGGGGCGTCAAAGGTAAAGCTCAAAGCTTGGTATATACTATTTCAAATCGTGTTAGAGAAGATTGTTGTCTTTGGGCGTTATTATAGTGTAATTATTTCTTATAAAGATACACAGTTTAAAGTAATTAAAATCAATGTGTGTGTGAAAATCGGAAAAAAATGATTTATTCAAACTGTACTTGTATAAAGAAATGTAAGTACAAATTGATTAATAAAACCAAGAATTATATTCGGATGCCTCGGATGCCAAATCATACTTGAAGAGATTTCTAAATGGAAGAAAGTTAAATGTATATGGCTTTTGTCCGATTTTTTACACATACGTAGTTAATTAAATAAGACAACGATGTTTGAAAATATATTCAAAAACAGTTGATGGATCTGGTGCTTCGAAACTGAAGAAAGCTGACGTATCTGTCTTAACCATGAATCAATGTGTTAGCTACTGGGGAGATAGGAACATTCTTAACCAACATGTTTGTGTCAAAGGGTACGATACCACCGAAGGAAGCGGATCTTGTAATGTAAATATTTTATTTCATATAAAATAAGTAAAATTGCTTTGAAAATTTGAAATCATGGTATGTTGGAGTCCTCGCATCATCGGTTGTTCGTGTATAAATCAATTGTTAAATATCCTAACAAATAATTATTTTCTTATGCATACAGGGGGACAGCGGCGGACCATTAGTCTGTGGAAATGAACTCGTTGGTGTAACATCTTGGGGATTCTCCGGATGTCACCAAAACGGTGTTGTGACACACCCAAGTGTGTACGCTCGTGTTTCCTACTTCTATGACTGGGTGAACGCTAACTGTGGAAACTGCAATGTCTAGATTACTTGTTTATTTCTTGTTCTTGTACAATTGAAATAAAAAGCAAAGTTACCCCATTGATGATAATGATTTGCAAGCAAATAAACGAATTACCAATTTAATCAGAAATTATTATTATTAGCTTCGTGGTTAAAAAAAATAACGTAAAATAACTTGATTTGCTCTAAGCATTTTAGAAAAAACATCACTGTACCATTTGAATTAAGTCTATAAAACTTTGTTTTAATCAACCATTGCAATGAGGGACAGTAGTGGATTATCTTCCCTTGATAAAAACCGAGGTTAACCAAAATGTAAGTAGTTCCAAATATTTGGAAGCCTTTGCTTTTATCGTTGAGTTTTATGTAAGACAGGTTGATATGTCTTAATCAATTATTTCACATGATCAACCTAATGTGAAACTAATGTAAAATATTGTTTATTTATGTAACAATTGTACATCTTAATTGCAAATATTTTATAATGATTCAGCAAATGAATATCAATTTACCAAATTAATTATAGCTTCGTGGTTAAAAAATACGATAAAGTCAGAATTAGAATAGCATACTGTACCATTTATTAAAGGTATAACAAGTTTTCATAATTCCCTCATTAAAGCACAACTTGCTTCTTATCACTGTATAACGCATTACAAATTGAGATAACTCAAATTATATTATCTTTTGCGATCATGAATTACCCTAACCTTGAAAGTACCCAATTTATATCAGTGGTTTACACGGCTTTGAATTTTGAAGAATTTCTTAGAATTTTAAGGAATTTCAAAATCAAAATTTCAAAACTGTTTTTTTATTCAATTATTATATTATTATTCTTATTATTATTGTATTTTCATGTACAAAGTAACATTACTATTTCTTACAAAAACGTGCTTAATAGATTTAACTTCTCTCATTTGATAAAGAAATGTGTAATTGCATATATAGTGCTATATGATCAAAAGTATATTGTTATGCCAGTTAACTGCCAGTTATTACTCACAATATGTTCAATTCCCACATTTATGTTGATATTTTTCGATAATAAGCCCTAAATTATACGACAATGACATTGTAAGTACTGTTATGCTTTCACGATGTCGTTATGAAGAACTTGTTAGTATTATAAATAATCAAAATTGTCATATATTTTTGTTTGAATCACCTTCTTGTGCCACTTTTTGAAATTACCAGCTGGTTATTATTCCATACCTTCGCATCTCATGTTGGACAAGACAGGGTATAAAAGACCCGAACGAAAGCTTGTTCCTTACATTCGCTACATTGGCAAATATTCAATATGCTTTTGTACGTTGTTTTCTTCGCAGTTGTCGGTGAGTTTTTCTATTTTAACAATTTGAATATGTATTTGTTTCTTATTTTCCATTCACAAGAAAAATTTCTTGCCTAGTATAATTTAAAGTGTAAAAATGTATTTCTGGAGAAAATAGGGAAAATACCAATACAAAATGGTACAAGTTCAAACAATTCTGGAAAACGGACACTGTTTTATATATTACAATTTTAATACAGTTAATTTGCAACGTTCTAAATATCACTCAACTTATCTCGTTTAATTGGCAATACATAAACTTTTCAATAAATTCTTCTTCGTGGTTCATTTTGCATTGAAGTTAATCAAAGTTAACAAACTTCTAGAGTTATCAGTTTAATGTTGTTTGACATAATGAATAACAGTTTTATATGTAATGATAATATGGTGAATGTTAAACAGTTATATTTTGAAAATAAGCTATAAGATATCTTTTTGATATACTTAAAGTATTTTGCTTCTTAATAATTTACTGTATTTTATTTTGAAAATTTTATTTTATTTTAAATGAAGCTCATGTGTAATTCATAAAATATTATTATAAATTGCTTACAAACGTCTTATACAAGAAAATAAAATAAGATACTATCAAATTTAATGTACCTTTCACCATCATTGTGTGTAATGTTTATAATTATTCTATACTAAGTCTTATGATTTACATTTATTCGCTGATATTGAACTATAATAAATATAATAAATGTCCATATACAATGATTATAAATGAAATGTGGTTTAAAGCATACGTTTACAAGTATCGAAGACAGAATCCTTTTCTGTCAGATTAGCTATTGCTGCATTTCTTTCGAGGGGTCCAACCAATATGTTGATCTCCGGCTTATATAATACTTGGTATGTAGCATCTTTAATCATAAGTAGATTAATGTGAATTACACCTCGCGCAGTTGAATTATACATATAGTTTATTTTGGATAACTTTGATATTTAAGCTGTTGTGACATCCATTGAGAATGAAACTCGATTTCTAAGCGACCCTCTAGATAAATCATCGAGGATCATAAACGGGGTAGAAGCAAATAAAGGCGAATTCCCCCACCAGGCGGCGCTACTAAATAATGGCTACCACTCATGTGGGGCGTCTGTTATCGCACAGAATTGGGTAATTACAGCCGCCCATTGCGTCGACGGAAGGTAATTTAAATTTTCTTTAGAAATATTTATTCTATATTGATGAAACTATAAAATAAGGCATCTTCCTACAAATATGATGAAACATTGTACATTCTTCAATCCATTCGTGATGAATCAACAAAATAGGCAGTTTAGCTATAGAAGCAATCGTATATGATCATTATGCATAATTCAGTACATTCGTGATAAACAATCAATCTATAAGATTTTATTCCTTAGTTCGCCATTGTGAATGAATATTCCTAGTCGACCTTATTATTTATTTCAATAATTTTAATTCATGTTAAATAAAATGAATCGTTATTTGTTTTACTTTGTCAAAAATATATATTTCTCAATTTCTATTTATTGCATTTTGATCTTGAATTTACTATTCTTTGTCCATACTATCGTTGCCAAAACGGAAAGCATTACATTAAACTAGTACCGATAAAAATTGTATATTTTTTTTTATTCCTATGCTTGTAAAAGCTTGTATTTATCTTAATGCAATAATGGTTCTGGATCCTACTCATATGTATATATATGTTGTAAATACACACGATAAATTATTTTATGCATCGCTTTTCATTTAGGACTGCAGGACAATTAGCTATAGTGGTTAACCTTCATGACTACAGTAATCCAGGAATAAGTGGAGTAGATTACATCTACTTTAATGTTGAACAGATAATCATGGTCAGTATTGTATTTTCATAGTAATATTAAATTGTGGAAATAAACATCATAAATCTACATAATTTGATACAGTAACTACATGTATTTATAAAGTTGTGCCAAAATTTCCTTAACCCTATTTGTCCTAAAAACGACACTTTATATGTCAGGTTCTTTATGTTACATTGTAGAATATCTGGCGGATAGACTGATGTCCGTGTATATAAGAAAAACAAATGTCATAATTCTGCAATGAAAATTGACGTTACAAACTCTTAGAAATATAATTATTCTTATATACACAAAAGAGATAATCTAGGCAAGAAATAATTCCATGTATGGAACAAATCTAGAATTGAATTATATTACTCTGAGTCAGCTGGCATATCCATTAAAAAAAGTTAAGTGTACAAAACAATGGGGAAAGGTTCCAGATAATGTAAAAGGCTAGCTTAACCCCCTGATCAAGATTTTAAAGTCAAGACTTTTTTTCAAACCTTTTTTTTAAATTCTAACAGCATGAGAACTACAACACAGGATCTGGAGCTTTCCCAAATGACGTGGCTGTCCTTAGGCTAACACCAAAAGCAGGGGTTGATATCTCCGGTAACGCAATAAAGCTTGCAGAAGGAAGTCAAACTTATGCAGGTCAAATATGTACTATCAGTGGCTGGGGCGTCAAGGGTAAAGTTATAAATCTGCTTTTGAAATTCCTGTTTAAAGTCATGTCCAATACGCCAATGAAAGTTTTAGAACATACACATACCTGAGTAATATAATAAAATGTAAGCTTTAACAAAAAAGTCAAAAATAAATGAAGCATTTCGTTCGAACATTGAAAAGGAGGATAATAAAAATAAAATTAAGTCAAGCTTTACTATTATGAAATATTTTAAACTACTTATATACATGTATAATAAGACAACACATTTTCGCTCGCAAGAAAATCAATGTTTTATTTAGAAAAAAAGCGAAAATGTACACAGATTGTTCAATTTTAACAATTAATACACTCAACAAATGTTCTGTTTTATCAATAAAAATCATGCCTTTACATTTGTTTTTGAACAAAAATGTTTTCTGAACAGTTGATGGTACTGGTGCTTCGAAACTGAAAAAAGCTGACGTGTCTGTGTTAAGCAAGAGTGAATGTGTTAGCTACTGGGGATCAAGGAACATTCTTGACCAACATGTTTGCGTGAAAGGGTACGATACCACAGAAGGAAGCGGATCATGCAATGTAAACACTTTCAACATTTAGTAAATTTGAATTCTAAAGGAGCAATTTCATTATATCTTACATCATCGGTTGTTTGTACTTTATGTATGCTGAATTAATTACCTGATAAATATATTTTCTAATTCACACAGGGAGACAGTGGCGGACCCTTAATCTGTGGAAATGTACTTGTGGGTGTTACATCCTGGGGATTTTCCGGATGTCACCAAGACGGCGTGGTGACACACCCAAGTGTGTACGCTCGGGTGACAACTTTCTATAGCTGGGTGAATAGCAAGTGTGGAAACTGCGCTGCTTAATAAGCGACATGTTTGTATGTTGTCTGTGAAACATTTAAAATAAAAAGGCAAATTTGAAAATTGACTTTATCATGATGTTACTCCACCATAATGGCCTCATACTTGCATACATAAACATATTTTATTAAATACAAAAATGTTCCTGTTTTGTATATAATGACGACTTCTTAACGTTGTGGGATTTTGTTTAATTAAAAACACTTGTCAGAACTATATACATTCCAAATGATAACATTATTATATAGAATTGAAACATTATGGCATTATCACAGGAAGTACAAGTTTAAGTTTAATTTCTCTTTTGAAAACTGAAAGAGTTTGATACACACCGACCTACATATAACACACTTATTTTTTGTTATTTCCAATTAAAATAAACATTAGTTATGCATTTTGGTAAACCACTGCAACTTGCAAACATGTTTTAACATACCAAATTGCTGAAAAAAAAACTAATAAAATGGACATAAAAAGTCTCCTCGTATAATTTATATCCTATTTACTCTCCTGCGCATCGAGCGAATGTTCCACTACTGTTCACTTTTGAAGTAACGGCCATGTATTCAATAAGCTTCTAAGAGGGCGTAATATCCGGTTGCGTATTTAAGAGTGGTTTTACCAATGAAAGTTTTGTCATCATAAATGAGTTTCTCCAAATTACAAGGTAGACAAACTGAAGAGTCCAGAAATCATTTTACCAAATTTTTTTCTTCATAGGGAATTATTTTCAAAAATGGAAGAACTCAATACAAAAGCTCATGTAGTATTCCGCATTGTGACATAGTGACAACATATTAACCTTAGATAACACTAATGCTGAAGTAGCTTTAGGATCTAGACAAGAGGCGTAGTTTTCCTCTGTTCCATATTGTCTCACGTTTTAATGACATTAAGTATCAGGATAAAGATTAAAATTAAAGTTCTATATTTATGTCGGGGGTCACATTGTCCTGAAATTAACACAAGATAGACACATGAAAACGAATTTTTTAGTGTCTTGCTGAATAAGCCGTAAACCGTATCAAAAATGACAAGCAACAGTGTGCATTAAGTATAAGATGATATCAGACAATGAAATCAAAATAAATATATATTTTTTTACATTTCCATAACAATAATCTTCACAGATAAGCTGATCGAAGTGAATATGAAAGGATAAAATATATACTTTTTATAATATAAACCCTGATCTAAAACTATTCCTCATTTGATCAATGTTTATCTTCATTCACAAAGTCGTATTACTAATTAGAATGAGTAGATGCCATTACAAATAAGCATTATTTTATTTGTACCAAAGAGCATTTCATCAATGAATGCAAGCTTCCAAAATCTCGATCTTTTGAATTTAATATTTGTCTCAATGAACAAGTGAAAGAAATTGAGCATGGTATTTCAAAAGGTCACGTGACATTTTAAAGCACTCTCATTAAATATTAAACTAAAGTTGATATCTTTAAAATTTTGACGTTTTATAAGAACGACAAATTTTGATGATTGCACAACGACAACGATGACCAAAACGCATGGTTTAAGTAAGTGTTTCGAACGTGTAATGGCCAATATTTATCGTTATGTATTTTAGAATAAATGAAGGAAAGAATCAATGTAACTCAATAGAAAACGATGTAAGTAGCTTAGTTCCCTTACTTGAAAAAATCAAAAGTCCCTGGCGGGATCCAAACCAACAAGGTGTTGGGCAAGTGGTTTGAGGCGTTAATCACTCAACTATTAACATGTATAGTGTGAATATAGTAAATTATAAATTTTATTATTGTTATCATACATTTAAACAAGCTATTTCAAGTCATATGCGTTCTTAAGAGTCTCAACCTGATGACATAATTCAACATCATATGCATAAAAGCTTACATAAAAACTTGCCCCTAACCATTGTTGGTTCGAATCCCACCAGGGACTTTTAATTCTTTCATGTACGTAAAGCATCCTGCTAGCTTACTTACAGAACGTCGTATGTTTTATATATGTCCTGAGTTATTTCTTTCTAAAAGAAATTGAATAATCTTTTTAATATGTAAATATTTACATCTAAATACTTATTAGATTCAAAATTATAATTTGGCACTTGGTTACAATCAACTACACTAACAATCAATGAACAATTTGACGGTAGAAACAAAATTTTTTTAGTAAAAAAAAACAAGTACTGGTGAAAAGGTGAAAAACAGCAGGCACACAAAACAAAACTTTTAATAAAAAACCCAACAAAAACTAAATGTATACAAAGTTTGTGTAACAATTTTTGATAATTTAGTATGATGTAAAATATGAATATAGAAGGCAAATTCAGTTTGAATTTTAAAAAGTATTATTTTATTAATAAACTTAACGCTTCGACTCGAAAGTCGTCTAGTATAATTGATATGCTACATGTGTAATTAAGAGGAAATTTGTACTTTAGGTAATAAAGTTGTGTCTATATTCCAGGTAGCTAAGTACATGTTAACAGAAAGAAGCAATAGGTAAAAACCATAAATAAGTATAAAACGTTTGTAAAGAGACTGTTTAAACAATCTCAGTACTGCAGGATGCTGGTAATCGTATTGTTTACTTTCTCCTGCACATTATGGACCATAAAACAAAATGTACTTACCGTCTGTGGTTTGTTTTAGCTGCAAATCATGATCATGCAATCATTTTTTTTCAAAACAAGCTTTTGATGACTTGCATATTTCCGAAAATCTTCATTCAAACTAAGTAAGGTTTTTGTTGTTATTCACTTTGTTGTGTATTCTATTCCTTTTCTTCTTTTCATAAGGGATGTAGGAAAGGGGTTTGTGAGTATAAAGCAGGTGTCATGCATAAGCATATTGAGAAAAAGCATTAAGATAACTAACGAGTGTTTTTGAGCCTTTATTTAACACTTCTAAAAACAATTGTATAGTTTGGTAATATATATAAAAGATCTAACATAAGCTGTCATCTGAAACAAACTTGATGAAACGACTGCAGTAAAAAAATTAAGAGAGAATTTATTTCGGGACTAATGCTATGGGAAAGGGTGAAAAACTTAATTCAGCATTTTCACATTAATAAAGTTACACATACAAGACAATTACCCTCATATAAAACAATGGACTAATGTTCATATCGTATATAGGTTAGAACCAAAATACCGTACCCGTTCGCGTAAGAATTGTGTCAATCAATGGCCAACCTATTGAACATGGTTCATTAAAGAATCAAATAACTCACACCTCTAGCGCACTTTGCTTTCTGAAACAATCATAGAACATATCTCCAAGAATAGCTTTGCTTTCATAACAAAATGCTTCCATTTTATTTAGTTCAGGTGTACTATTTATGTTATTTGTTTACAATAGGTCTAGGTTACTAGGCAAATTAACCATCATAAACCCTGCAATAAGCATTAAACATATGTTCAAAGTCTGTTTGATATAATTTTCATATAATTTTCAGCACAACCGGATATAAGTTATCTCACGTTTATCTTTCTTTTATGTCTTTAAGCATGAATCTCAATGCACTTATTCTCTTGGGGTTGTTTCAGAAGCAAAGTCATGATTAAATAATCATATTATTGAAAACTTTTGTAGTACTTGATTGCTGACACATCTCCGGAAATCGCAATTAATTCTGAGGAAATGTCTTTTTTCAGAAACATTATTATCAAAAAATGAGATAATGTAGGCATAATAAGTACTCATTAAAACAATGCAACTTACACATGTTTTCTTTTGTTATTTAGATAATTCTCAACATGACATGTTTTGCCACCAAGGAATTGTATTTAAGCTCTATAAAGATGCAAATACTTATGGATTTGATATAAATTAAAAACAACATCAAGTATTTCATTTTAAGGAAATATAACTACTATTGGACCTCTCCATGGTTTACTTGCATGTGTCCGAACTCTGCCATAGTTAAACTAGTTAAACAATTTGGCTTTCTGGCCATCCAATTGCTATACTGGGACAATCCATAGTCAATGGTTGGCCTGGTTAACACACAAGAACACATACTTTTGTTTGTGAAACTGTTTGTGAGAAACTTACTTAGCCATAAATAGAAATGGTGCAGGGCTAAATTTTCAACGCCTAAATTCTAGAATGGCTAGTATGCACTTTGATAAATAAAATAAAATCTTTCCATCTTCGTCTTACAAGTTAATATCGCGTACTATGTTTTTACTATATACTGTACACGTTTGTATTCTAGTTGTAATATTTTGCAAATGGTCCTATTTTGTTTTGTTCATTTGCTATGAAATATGAAATACAATGCTGTTAACCTCTATGGGTCCAATAAATAATAAATTTCAATCCAGTTTTAACAATCAAACAATCATTTATATATAACAGTAAAAATATCATCCCGAAGAAAGTACTGTTACCCGAGGCGAAGCCGAGGGTAAAAGTATTTTTACGAGGGATGAGGGATGATATTTTTACTGTTACCCACAAGCCCATGTGTTATTTATTTTATTACCCCGAACAAATACTGTGATTATCTGAATGTGTTAACTAAATCTAACTGTGACAAAAATAAACCAAGAGTAGCAATAACTAAACTGTCCTGACCTTGCAAGTTTAAAGTGTACTATAGGCCTACTTGAGAAGCTGTTTGTCTTTTATTCTTTAAGCCAGTGATGATATCTACCAGTCATAAACATACAATAAGCTGTGTTTTATTTAAAAAAAAAAACACTAACCCATTTATAAGGTTATGATCTGTGAAATCTGATCCTTCTGTATCCAGAATATTCTTCGCATGGTTTTTGACAAAGTACATTTAGAAAATACCGATGATATCTTACAGATTTCTACAGATGTCTATCTGCAACGTTTCACTGGCTAAAATTGTTAAATAATCCTTTGTTGCATGCTTTAATCGTCTGCATACAAAATTATTCACATTACAATTACTTCCGTTGAAAACGGACGTTTACTTTTTGACTATTCAACAAAAGATGTTTTTACGCGAAAAGAACTCTAGGGTGCAAAGAACTAAATTTTATGAGAGTCATAGTTACTATGGTGATGCCCCAGGCCCTATCGTCGAAAATAAGAATGAAT